TTGTGCCAACTGGTAAGATAGAGAGATGGCATGCACCAACCATTTAGATGTCCTTTTCAAAGGCATGTGATTGCCTTGCTGCTTTCCTTGGCAGCAGACAAATGGTTTGCTAATTTTTCAAAAAGCTTTTGTCCTGGATATGTAAAGTGCCAGAACTCTATGGACATCTAGCCTGTGTAGTAATCTTTTGAAGTCTGCAGTAGGAGACAGGAAAAAGATCAGCAATTCCAGGAACTGCTGAATGTGAAAATCTGACACATTTTTAGGGAGAAAATACATGTTTGTTATTAGAACTACCTTATCTCTAAAAAAAACTGCAAGAAATGGAGGTCACGGTGTAGTGCACCCAGCTTGCTTGCCCACCTGGCTAATATAATCGTGACCAGAAATACTTTTTTTATATAAGAAAATATAGGTTATAATTAGCCATGGATTTGAACAATAGGTGAAGGACCAGAGCGAAAGACCATTCGGATATAGTTCAATCAGGATATAGTTCACCAAAAAGTGAATGCATCTCCCAGACTCCTCTCCTCGACCTGCCCAAGAATAGTATCTGTGGTATTTTGTGTGTTGTTTTGTTGTGGTAAACACATCTATATGTGGTTGGCCCCAACAATTTCATATGCTTGGAACACTCAAGGAGATAGATCCCATTTGTGTATCTGTGCAGTCTAGTGGCTCAGTGAGTCTGCTATGTGGTGGTTCTCTTCCTACGACATGAACAAAGATGAAGTTTCTGAATATACCCTTCCCAGAGGAGGACAGAAAGGTACAGGAGAGACTATGAATTGGCACCTCCATGGTTTTAATGTAAAACACTTGTAGAACTGTCCATAGCTAGCTGCACCACTTTGTCTTGAAGAAGAAGCTTTTATCTTTGCCAGCATTTCTAGCATGTTTATATGTAGTTTCTTCTCTTTCTGGGACCATAGGGCACACATCTGCCTGCCCTTGCAATGCACACTCCATCCCGTGAGATTTGCATCTGTTGTTATGAGAACTAAGGATTTAATCTATTCAAAGGGTTGGCTTCTGGACAAGTTCAGTGTGTCTGACCATCAATGAAACTGATCTGCTACTTCAAGGGTTACATGGTGCTTCTTTCACATGCTGTCTCTGGTGTTGTTGAAATTCAACAGGAACCAAGTCTGGAGAGATCTCATTTTCACCCTTGCATCCGTAAGAACTGCTGTGCTTGAGTCTATGTATCCAAGCAGCTTCTGAAATGTGTGTTGTCACAAAGGTATTTGTCTCAAACGTCCTTACTAGGCATTGGATTTGAATAGCCTTTCTTGTGGCAAGTAATCACTTGCCATTTCCAAGTTATATACTGGATTATGTGCATCATTGTCAAATGTGACTTTTATAGCATCACCTATAGCCAAGATCAGATAACAGTCTCAATGTAAAGTTTACATACTTTGCCACTGCTATCTCTGAGTCTGCTACAATAACCAGTCATTAGCATATGGGAAGACATTGGTTCCACAAAGTCTGAGGTATGTTGCAACAGGAGCCATACATTTGGTGAAGACTCTGAGGGCTGTTGATAGAGCAAAAGGGAGTACTTTGAATTCATAGATGTTGTGTGTTTTTTTTACAAATTGGAGGAAACAACAATGTTCCTGTCAAATAGATATGTGGAAATAAGCGTTCTTGAGGACTATCACAGGGCACCAGTCTATAACGTAGAAGGAATAAAATTCACAGCTCTTATATTCAGCTGGGACCAGTAGTATTGTGTTCTCTTGCAAGCCTGTCTGTACATCTTCTTCTAAAATACAAGATGGTGGATACAAGATGGTGGCATTGTCCTGAACTGCCCTGTTGGACAGAGAGTACAGAATTCTATTGCATATCCCTGGGTTATCATGGATAACACCCAGCTGTCAGAGAGAATGGAGAACCATGTGTTGATATACAGTGCTACGGTTCCTGTTGGGTGGTATCAGGTTTGTGAGATGGTACAGATCTCAGCCACAGGAAAATCAAAACTGCTGCTTTCCCTGTGCTTTTGGGTTTTTTGTGCTGAATCTTATGTGTCTGTTCCATAGATTGTCACCAATGATGTCACCAATCAGGCGGTTTTGATTTTGATAATGACCATTATGAGGGTGAATCTGATTTCTGGGATCTTAGTGCTTTCAGTGTTAACTAAGTAAGTGGTCCTGACATGATTTTTTTCTTTGTTTTAAAGTCCTAGGGGCTGGGAACATATATTGATGCCAAGAGTGTCTGGGAGTCATGTGATATTTGGCTGCCTTGCATCTTTCAGGGTCAATTGCTTTTGACTTTGACCCTTACTTTTTGCACCAACAATTCTTCCAAGTCAAGAGTCTGTTGACACGTCTGTATCACACTTTCTCAATTTTGACTTTGGGTGTCGAGGTGATTTTGAGTTTTAGGCTTTTAGGCCTTATCAGTATGGCGGACAGGTGCACTGAATCAGAGGTCAATGAGAATTTTGATGCCTAGCAGACACGTTTCCAGACCCACGTGCTGGAAGGTTCTGGGGACTTTGATATATACTGTTGTCTCTTCCCATGTCATCGAACCTCAATATGCAGCCAGTTATCCTACTCATGCTCTCTGCAAAGCAAGGTAGGGGAATGCAAATGACCATTCTGACCCACATAAGACTGTGGTGGAGAAGGGAGTGGGTAAAAATGGGGGAATGCAAATGACCATTCTGACCCACAAAAGACTGTGGTGAAGGAGTGGGTAAAAATATTCCCCCATAAGCATGGGTCTGTGTGGAAAGGAAGCCTACAATTACAATCATCTGGATCAAGATGCAGCAGACTGCTTATGTTGTTGATGCTTCCCCATATATTTTCCATTAGTTTTCTGTGCTCGCTGGGATACAGTTTCGCTCTCTGTCAATTGAGTCAAATGGTTCCATGTTGGTAGGTGTGTGAGGAGCAGAGAGACAAAGATTGTCATCTTCCTCTGATATCGATCCCAGACAGACCAGTTCTTCATTGTCTTCTGTCTGTGAAATCAAAGATTGTGGTGTTGGGAGTTGTACTCCTATCGACAATGGTTGTTTCGGCTGTTTAGATAATGCTAATGCTTTTGTCTTTTTGAGTTGAAGCTTTTCTGAAGTTGGTTTCTTCCATTTCTTTAAAACCGATGGTGTTAGTTTCCAGGTGGATGGTACTGGAGATGTATCTTTAGCTGGTAACCATTGTGATGGTAATGGTACTGATACCTGTGGGAACATTTCTTCTTGACTATGGCCTGTAACCTCAGAGTAGATGGACTCCATAATGACTGATTTGGAAGGGATCTTACAGATCCATGTGGATGACTTCAGAGTTGCCTTTGAGATCTTAACCACTTGTAATGACCGTTCCCAAATGTATAATTTTAGTCTGGATTGCCCATTCTTTATTGCAACCTTCATGTATTTCTTGGAAGATACAGCAGGACTATGTCTGATATCCTTCCCTCAAATTGCAGAGGCAGTTGGATTGTCCGCCCGTTAGTAGGATTTTTTTTTTTTGCAAGAATCACACTTTTTGAATGAAGCCATAGAGGCCATAAAAGGTAGGAATGTTGAAAAACTGTATTTTTCTTAAATATATGACGAAGAAAAAAAATTTTTTTGATTTTCTAGGAAAGAATGAGGAGGGGCTCGCTAATGAGGAAGGACAAGGAAGGAACATGAACTATTTATGGTAATTTGGATCTGGACAATCATAAGGTGCTGCTTCAACAGCGGTCAAAATGGAATTGGGAATTAACTGTTAGGTGGAGGAGCATGTACTGAGTGTTAGGGTGGGGCTAATAGCTTTCTAGGCTGAAAGATTCCAAAGATGTCTGCACAGGTGCAGATCAATTTATTAATGTGAATCACAGAGACCATGAAGAAGAAGCTGGGTGATTCTTATACATCTGAGTCTTTGCTGTAGTAAAAATGAATGTATTCTCCAAAAGGGAATCCTGATTTTCCCAAAGCAGGACCATCATTTCATAAGAGGTATAAGCAAACTCCAGGGAACACAAAATTACAAAACAAACAAAAAACCTAAAGGTGGGAGAATTACAAACAGCCTAATGAGGATTAAGAATGCTCAACAGGCACAGAATGCTGGCTGATGACTGGAAAGGAGGAGGAAATGTTGACCTGAGTCTTGGATTGATGGAGAAAAGTCAACTGAAGACCCATCAATCATCTCTCCTTATCAAAATGTTGCCCTTTTCTAATTTTTTAAGAACAAGAAAATAACTCTTTTAATTACTTCAGAAGTAACAGTATCCGAAAACTAGGTTTGTACTAAATTAAGGTGGATTTGCATATACCCTTAAAACAAGACAATCTTTGTGAACAAAGCAAAGAGTCTCAGCTTCTTTCTTTATTTGTTTCAAAGTGTTGCACAATTTAAAATTATGGATATATAAGAAATATAATTTAAAAACAAATTAAAATGTTAAGATTATTTTTTACCAGAAGTGGGCTCAGCTAAGCAGACAGCAGATGAAGGAATTAATGCAAATGAGTAAACACATGATGGAACATAAGATATAAATCAACTTTTAGACTGAGAACTAATTCCAGTGCTCATGCACTGAGGGAAATACATACAAATGTACTTTGCATGAATTTCGCCAGTGATGATTTTTCATTAAGAGCAAATTCTGTATGTTGGACCTTCATGATCCAGTAGATTAAAAACAATGTACTGGGTTTTGCACCATGAAGGGAGGAGGTGTGCTTAGAGCTTGAGGAAGTGGATTTCATCCACAAAAGCTTGCTATTTGTTTTATTTTTACTGGTCCAATAAAAGGTATCACCTACTCTTGCATTTGTGGAATTGCCCTTAGTGACTTGTTAGGAAAATGCTGATATTGAAATGATAGTGAACTGTTCTTCACTAAAAACTAATTGCACTTTGATGTAATTGCAGGTTCCAGTTTCTAAAGACAAAGACACACAAACACAGACATGACCATAAGTAGTTCTCCGGTGGAGTACATGAACACAGTATATTCACCAATGACACTCTTAGCGAATGATGTCCGCATTAAAGTGGCCAGTCCCAGGTCACCAATCTTCACTGAACCAGTGGGTCCTGTGATGAAGATATTGTCACATTTCAAATCACGGTGGATGATTGGAGGGGTCCTGGTGTGCAGAAAATGCAGCCCCTTTAAGATCTGTCGGCACCAGCTCCTTAAGACCTTTGGCTTCATGACTTTGAAACGCTTTAAGTACCTACAAACAGAAGAACATAACCACATATGGTAGTAAATTTTTACGCATCAGATTAATCTCAGCATATTAGCTAAAGAAACTTTGGGTTCTATAGACATCTTCCCATGAATTCTGCAACGTTACAATCTCCTACCTCAAACAGTTGAGTGATCTTGACTAATATTCCAATCTACAATTATTAAATCAGTACAACTTGTTGCCTTTGACTTTTGTAACCATTAAATAAATTACTTGTTACAAAAATGATTATTTCTTATTTCTTTTCTTTGTCAAGAGTCTTGCAGATGACTATGGAAGTGACAAACTGGCAACATACCCATAATATGGAGAGTATGGAACACTGTCAGCAGATGTGATCTTACATTTTAAAACCTGAACAAATCTTGTAGGGAAAAAAATGGTATATGCAACCAAACCGTATGTGAATGTATGGGAGGCACCTACGTTTTCAGTGTTCCAGATGTCATCAGCTCAGTTACCAATACAATGCACTTCTTTCCTTTAACTGTTGATTCCCAGGAATCATAAAATCGGACAATGTTAGGATGTTGCAGCCCTTTGAGCATCTCAGCTTCTTCTTTAAACCTCTGCTGTTCTGCTTTGGTCAGCTTTCGGTCCTAAAATAAAGAGCAAGCAAACACGTAATATCTGTACTATTTACAAAAGTATGAGACTGCATGGAAACTTGGTCAACTACAGGCAACACTGCTCTGTTTTGAATGTATGGTGGGAGGAGGAAGGAAGACCAAAGATGAATACTACAGTACATAGAATAACATATAAAATGAATCAACTTGCTTGCACTTAATTTCTTTTTCCAAGAATTAAGGTATAATCAAAGATATATGGCAAATGTAACTTAAAGAGGGATAACTTCTTTTTCATTTTTCAGGGACATAACCATGTTGGTCTGTTTCAACATCTATAAAAAAAACAAAATAAAAATAAAAACCGAAGCACTCTCACTGTAATTCCTTAAATATTAATTGATTTAGTTTAGTTTTTATGGATAAAAATCTACTTCCTGAGAATGCAGAGTATAACAGTTAGGCCACATATTTACATGCCTAGAGTATAGGATAGTGGAGTGGGGACCAACTAAGATGGTGAAAACAGGATGACAATTATATGAGTAATGAATTTTCTAAGTGGCAGTAGCACTATTAACACTGGTAATTAGCATTTAAGGTCTTGATTATATTTAACTTGTAAACTGCCCAGAGTAGTGTGTACACGAATGGGGCAATAAATCAAATCGAATCAAATCAATCAATCAAAAAAAAAAAAATGATGGGTGATCTCAGCTGACAACAATGGTAGGCTGCTACCTTTGAAATGTGGATACAGATGTTACCAGGAATTTGTGCCAAGATTAGCATTTTGCCAAGGAACCTAATGTTTGGCAATTTCTCTTTGAACATTAAATCCATCACACCTTCTAGAAAACAGTTGTACCACTGTGAATTGTAGGTTTACAATAAACCTTTGTAGGGAAAGAAAAATGTGCATAAAACTTTACATATGAAGAACAGTTGCATATATTAAAGTTAGCTGTCCCTTCTTTTTCAAATACAAGAAATGTCAAATTTGCTCAAACATTTATGAACCACTGAAGCCCTTGAAGATGACTGATCAGAATTAGAACTGAAAATATGCACCCATAGATGGGAGTACTGCAGGAAAGTCTTTGCAGCAGTCTGAGGTTGACGTGTATCAGCATCACTCTTTGTTGGTAAATTTCTTGAAACACATTTTTGTTGCACTATTTTTCTAACAGTTTTTTGACCACAGAAAACTCTTCTTTTGTCAGAATTGTTATTCCTATGGAGCTAAGTGGATTTACTTGCATAAAAGTCAGCAATAGATACCACTGCAGGCATTATTTAATCATTTCCAGAAAATCATCAGTTCATTTCAATATGAATTTATAACTTCTGCTTGTTCATGTTCTGTCTCACGTTTTTCATCAATCTTTTCTTTTAAATGTATTATTTTGAGGATACATTTGTTTTCCTAAGGCTTTTGGATCAATTTTTTTCTTTATTATTAATTACTACAATTTTTTGAAAGCCTTCATCAAAAGTATAATTATTCTGAAGTTGTAAAATTCTTTGCCTGGCTGAATTGGCAATGACTAAGGAGTCTTTTGGAGAGGCAGTGTGCCATAGTGAAATATTTATTAGACTACAACTCAAGAGACAGGTTCAAATCCTCAATGGCTCAAGGAAACATCTGGGCTGCTACAGTGCTAAACTAGTCCTCCACATCTTACATCTTGAAAAACCATTAGGGTTGGTGCAAGTTTATAGTTTCACCCTATAAAAACATCAGAGAGGTGTAATCAATATACAATATCATTAGTAACTTGTTTTCTTCTGAATCTTTCAATATCAGTTCTATAAAGGATACAGCATCAACTGTGCTTTTGGTTACTACGGTATGTACAACTAACATTTATAAACCTTCACATTTTCACTGCCTAAATTCTAAAGCAGTCTTTTTACAATTCATTTTTGCCTTTATCAGAATCTTCTACAAGCATATATCATGGGACATTGGAAGCATTTATGTGCCCTCCATGCCATGATGTCTACAATTTTGTACTGCATTTCTGGAAACTGGGAGCTTGTACTTCCTGCAATGTGTTTACTATTTTTTTCCAATTTTTCATTGTTTTAGATTCAAACAGATGGTTTTTCTTTTCCTTCTACACAGAAACTAGCTTCTACAGAGCTATCTCACTGTCTAAATATTAAATAAAATCAAGAATTCATTTAAAATATCTGCTGTCTTCCAGACCTCTTTTTACTTAAAGCGGGCAGAGAAGTTGCAGCTGAATGTTGGCATGTTTGTGAAACACTCTAGATATAAATGAAGTGCTTTCCTCAAGGTCTTAAAATCTCTTAAAGGCAAGGTATTGTTTGAACATACTTGGTTGGAAATTTCAAGAGGCATAGCAGAAACTTGCATGAGCTGACAGCTGCACCCTTAGCCGTTCATTTTTCTAACTACTGTATTCTCAATGGAAATTACAGCCTTCATGGTTCATTCAGCATGAATTAAGTTTCATGTACTTAACTGTCTCACTCTTCTTTGAGAACTCTCCAGGAATACCAGATGCAAAAGTCTGCCTTTGCTTATAAAGTAGTTAAAATCCTCTTTCACCGTCAGCTTATTCTCTGTTTTCTGATGCTTCATGAACTGAACTGCTTTGGCAATGACAGTGAACATCTGAATTTGGTCCTGATGTTGGTTTCAGTTTTCTCAGTTTCACATTCCACCTTAAACACAACATTCTACATACCTCAAGTTTAGGGAAGGGCACAGGAAAATAATTTGCCAAAGTACATTCATCAACTCCACCTTGAGGGTCTCTCTTCCTGATCTTGCTCCTACCAGCTTTAGATTTTTCTTACTCTTGGGCAATCACAGGAAAACTTTTTACCCAGTTGCTACATAAAGGACTAAGTACCTGGACACTAACTCTAGAAAGCCATTTGGGTGTTGTTGTTGTTTGCTCCTTATTCATGTTGAAGCCTTTGACAATGCATCACATTCAGCCGAATGAATAGGAAAATTCAGAAAAGTAGGCCTAAATTACAGCCTACGTGGCTAGTCAGCTAAATGCAGCACATACTGCAATGTTACTATTCCTCTGTGATTGCTTTCTTCCTTTGCCACCAAGTACTGTACTTGAGAAAAAGAAGAAAAACAGCCACTAAGTATAGTGGTTGCTTTAAAATGGCAAAAGGTAATTTATGGTTACTATTTAAGATCACTTTACATTGTCTCTTCATTTCACCCTTCAGCAATAAGCACCCAACCCTATTTTATTTATCATAGTCTTCCTACCCATCATACAATCAGACTCTTACTTTCTACTACAGGCAAGTGCATAAGCTTCTTTAGTGCTAAATAGAATGAGCCAGCAAAACTAAAATGAAAAGTGAGAGCAAGGGAGATTCCAGATAACAGAATCTGACTCTTTGTACAAAGTTCTAATGCTTAACTCTGTGCTGGTCATCTCACCGTATAGTCTGGATTCTTTCAGGATCACGTAGGTAATTGCAGTAATTTTGGTAATGAAAAATTCATTACCAAATTAGAGAACGTCTCAAATAAGCTGACCGGGGGGAGGGGCTCTTCTAGAATCTAGATGAGGCTGTTATTGTGTATCCACCCTGCCTAATGCTTTGGAGAATTCTGTTCTTGTTCTTAAAACATGCTGCCATTCTTAAAATGCAGTGGAGTCTTGACTTACAGTCGGCTCCACTTACGTACTTTTCGACCTACGGACTTCTCCGGCCGCAAAATTTAACTTCGACTTCCCAGGAGTCCAAGCATGGCCGGGATCGCCCAGCGCGGCTCACCTCCCAGCAGCGGTGGCGGCGGTGCGGGAACCTCCGGAGGCCTTCCCCACCACCATGGGAGACATCTTGGATGTCTCCCCCCGCCGCCGATAGTGCCTATGAAGCACTATCAGTGGCGGGGAGACCTCCAAAAGGCTCCGGCAGAGTCCTCCGGCAGCGGCGATGGCTGCGGTGGGGGAGCTCCGAGAGGCCTCCGGCGGCCGTGCCAAAGCCCTCGGAATCCTCCAACAGTGGCGATGGCGGCGGCGGCGGACCCCTTGAAGACTTCAAAAAGGTAAGGTAATTTTTTAAAAAAATTATTTTTAATTTGTGTATGTGGGGGTGGTGTTTCTTGAGCGGGTTACCGATTAATCTGTTTTCAGTGCATTCCTATGGGGAATGCATTTTCGACTTGAGGACATTTTGACCTACGGACCCCATTCCAATACGGATTCATTCCGTAGGTTGAGACCTCACTGAGGCTGTCGCTGTCTGTCATGCCACAAATTAAAAAGGTAGTTTTTTAAAATGAGAAGAGAAGCATAACATGGGAGAGGAGCACACCCGTTTGCTTCACTCCAGCTACATAGCAGAGGGAATATATTGCCATAATAACAGGCACATATTTCTCTTATCCTCTTTTAAAGTCACTTGTGTCAATGGCCATTATGGTGGAATCTTGTCGCAACCAGTTGGGTGAATCTGAGTAAATAACAGTTAATGGGTTCTTACCAAGCCTACTCTGCAGTAGTGGTGACTGTTGTATCACAGGAGTAGGCAATATCTGAGGGCCACTTTCACCAGTCTCTAGACATCAGAAGGCTTTACTCTGCTTTGGTAACCCAAGTGCTATACATTTCACTGAAATAATGGCAAATAGAACTCTGAAACCTCAGAGGGAATACTTTGTTGTTTGAATGTTATCCAAGGCCCCCCCCCCAAACCTGTTTCAGGCCAGGAACGGGCAATATTAGAAATAAGATGTGTGCAGAAGGGGAAGTGAAATAGCTTTAAATAGTAAAATGCAACCCTCCCCAAGGCTTTTAGAGGGCCTGAGGACTGTACTAGTACTGTACCCATATGCAACTGGTGGGCAACACTTCCTCTGTTCCTGCTCTGTTGCCATTAAACCTTCACAGCCTTGGTGTTTCTACGTACTGTAGTAGTTCAGGGCCTCTCCAATTTGGCTCAGGAGAGACTTGTTGCAACATGTTTGTGAAACACTTGAGGGATTAAATAATTAATATTTGCCATGAGCTGAGTACTGC